TGTTAAACGCGTCTCTTTTTATAATAAATTTTAAATTTTTGTACATAAAAAAAAGTGATTATCAATTACCGTTATATATGATATATATTGTATTGTATGTATATGTATTGTATAAACCTATTAAATTGCCAAGGCTGGACCGGTTTCACGAACTAGTTCCTAACTAGTTCAGGACCAGACTTTTTAGGGACTGGACCGGACCAGACGGACTTTTTAACATCCCTAGTAAAAAGCGTCACTAACAGCAATATAATTAATTTTATCATACTGTAAATACGTAATAATTAAATAAGACTTAGGGTTTATAGAATGTCATCAATAACATTTATCAGAATAATGACATTATAATAGAATCATTGTTTCGAAAATTTCTATAAATATATATGAATTCGCAAAAAGAAAAAAAAAATTTTTCCTCGTTAAAATTATCTAAATAACAATACGTTACTGATGAAAAAATATGTTATAAAGAATGCATTGTTCCATCTGACACCGTCGTAAATACGTCTGAAAAAAAGAAACCAGTACAATTAAAAGAACAGAAAGATATTCAAGAAACACCTACATCTAAAATATATAAAATAAGTGAATCTGCTAACGACAAAATTGGAGATAATCGTAAATTTGAAAGGATCTATATTAGTGGGTGCGAGAAACCAAAAGTTTTGCCGGTTGCAGTCATGAGTGAAAAGGATAATGTTGAGTGCATCAAATTTGATAGTATGTTGTAAACTTTAATACTTAAACTTTGTTTACATTTATGTTCTTCACACAAGAATGCGATTAATTCGGTTTAATGTTTATACTGTAGTTGAATCTGCAAATCGCAAAGAAAAAATTACTCCAGGCTGGTGCGAATAAAAATATCATTATCCATTAATTTTTTGATAAATGACGACAAAATAATTCTGTGTTCGATAATATATTATCCCTTGGATTGATGTAATGTGAAATGTTATGATGTTTTGTAAAAGTTTAAAAAGTTTATAGTTTAAATTAAATTTTTAAAAAATACATTTACGTATTGTAAATAAAAGAAAATAAAGTTTAAAGTTATTAAAGTTTTGGCTTATTAATAATGATGATATTATCCATAAACTTTTTTTACATCATTATTTACTTTTGTTCAAACCTTATTAAAGTTTCTTAAAGAATAAATTTCAAACATTCATGATGTTGTTTGATTAATTTTTTTCATAAATAACCTAAAGTTCATAATTTCTACTTGTAATTAAATAAAAAACAATGAGTCTTCATAATATCCTTCCTGGTGATGGTGCTGTTAGTAATAGCATTATTTACGGCGGTAATTTTTTCATGGGAGGCAATATTGTTTTTGGAGACGGTAATTCCGAGGTTGAAATTGAAGAATGTGATGATTATGGTATTAAAGAACGGTCAAAAAATTTAGATGATGATGAAATTATGGATTTGTCCAATGAGAATAATGAAGCTCAAAAATTTTCTGAATTGGATGAAGATATGTTAATTTCTGAAAAAGTTTCTTGGGAATTGGATTCTTGGTATAAAGAGGATTCGCCGTATAGGTTCGATGATCCAGAAGACGGAAAATTAAGCGCCCAAGAAAGTATGGCTGATGATGACAATGTCAATTACGATATTAATGATGGAGATATTGAAGATGGCGGTATTGACGATGACGACGATGATGGTAATATAGGAGACGACGAATATGTGGTCGAAAAAATTGCGGGTCATAGATTGAATAAAAACGTATACACATATCTTTTTCTCGTTTTTAAAATATTTGAATTAGAAACCTTTTTTTTGTTTAATTATTATTACTAATCATCTAGGGTGAATTGGAATATTGCATTAAATGGGATGGTTGGGATGACAAAGATAATTCGTGGGAATTGTCGACAAACGTGTAAGTGTTATTTTGAAAGCTCATTTTATGCCTTTCATTTTAATCAATTCTTGTTAATACTATTAATAGATTTGCCCAAAAATTAATAAATAAATATTGGAACAAATTATCTAATACAAAATCGATCGAATCTGAACCTCTGAAACAAACTTCATCGTCAACTGGCAAAGTGCAAAAAAAAAAAAGAAAACCCAAGGCTATCATTTTAAGCAGCGATGAAGAACAGCTCAAGAAATCAAAATTTTCATCATCGCATGCCACACTTTCACAAGTAAAAGAAGTTTCTGAGAATCCTAAACCCAAGGAAAACAAAAAGGCAAAATATAAAAAACAGGAAGAAAAGCGATCTAAGTTTGAGCCGAATGAGATTAGATCTGAAGCTTCTTCTGATTGGGAACGTGACATTGGTGACATCGAATCCGTAGAATTGAAGAACGAAATGCTTGTCGTCTTTGTTGCATGGTATGCGTTTTTCTTTCTTTTTTAAAAAAAAAAGGTAGATTCGTAATTTATCAACATTTTTTTTATAGGAATTCTGGAGTGAGAAGCATGCATAATGTAGAAGAAGTGAACCAAAAAGCACCGCAAAAGGTAAGATTTCTTGAATTTCGTTTATGACGAATTTATCGGCGAGTTAACATTAGTTAAATTTTCCTTATTGTGATTTAGATGCTTAGATTTTATCAACAGCATCTCAAAATCAAAAAGTTTGTGAGAAAGAAAAGATGGTATTGTTTCTAAAAGTCAAATTTGTTTGGCTTATCCTGTTGGGGTTGGCACTTAGTCTGGAATTTATTTAGCATTTAGTTTTTGTATTAGTTTTTTTTTTACATCAATAATTTTTATATTTCTTATACAAGTCCTTTTATCACTAATACGTAAGAGCTACTGTATATATATTCATTTATTGGTTGTGCATTGTAAAAATTGTCAAATAAAGCTACTATAAAGTTTTACTACAAATTTTGGTTTAAAATTATACAGTGTCTGATAAAAGTTTCCCACACCTATATCTCTTCATAGAGAGGTGCTATGACATTGAAACTTGCAAAAAAGTTAGTACATTAAAAGTTTGGATTGTGTGTATTTTTTGAAGATTTTTAATCACTAAAAAAAATTTTAGATGAAAGCTAAAGTTGGGATATTTTTTTTAAAAAAATGAAAAAATTAATTGAATTCGAAGAAAATTTAATATATTGTCAGGGCTTAAAGCTAAAAATTCCAAAAAATAGTATATTAACATTATATGATTTTTATAGCAGTGATAAAAAATTTGGCTCGATTTGATGAGTTTCATTTTTAAAAATTGCAAAGTAAAAGCTTTTTCAATCAAAATCTTCTTGATATTTAGTGATTCAAATTTAATGATTTTGGTGTCATTTAAATTGTCTTGATGAGACAATTTGAATGATATCAAAATTATTAAATTTGGACTGCTAGAACAAGATATTTGTGAAAAACGGTTTGCAATACAAAAAGAATCAAACATCAACAAATCAAACCTAATAAAAATAAAACTTAAAACATTAAAAATTAATTTCTCAATAACTACCTCATCAAATCGAGTTAAATTTTTTGTCACTACTACAAAAATCAACGAATTTTAATACAGTCAGACCCTAAATGCACCCTCCCTAAATGCAGCACCTCTCTAAATGCATGTCTTCTTTTGGGCCCAACTAATATTACATCTATAGATTTTTACCTCCCTAAATGCAATACCTCTCTAAATGCACGTACTAGAGCTGGTCCCAATGATGTGCATTTAGAGAGGTCTGACTGTATATTGAATTTTTATAATTTTAGCTTTAAGCCTTGACGATATATTGTTTTTTCTTTGAATTCAATTAATTTTTTTACTTTTTTTGGATGAAAAATGTCCCAACTTTAGCTCTCATCTAAATTTTTTTTCTAGTGATTAAAAAATCTTCAAAAAACACACACGATCTAAACTTTTTATGTACTAACTTCTCTCCAAGTTTCAAGGTTGTAGTACCTCTCTATGAAGAGATATAGGTGCAGGGAACTTTTGCCGGGCACTGTATTATAGTTGTCATTATTTAAATAGATATTGTCTAGTGAGTTTAATTTTCTCAAAAATGTAGAAATGCGTTCAGTGATTTGAACTTGTGACCAAGCTGACTTATGGATTCTGGCATTGTATTTGAATATTAAATAAATTATTGAGGATTGTAAAATTTAAATTTTACAAATTTTTATATATACCTATACACATATTTGTAAATCAAGAGGATTTTGTCCCAAAGTTATCACTTTTATATTGAATAAAAGTTTTATTACTATAAATCTGCATTATAAAAAATTTTTATAAAAATTTACTCTGTAAATTTATTAACCTCTAAGTGGCATGACAGAATTATCGTTTGTTAAAATATAACTTAATATGTTATTTTATGTGAGACCAGGAATTCTAATAATGATCTAAACTCAGAATTCTTGGTTTTCACTTGGCAGCTCTTATATACTATATATACTATACAGACCGTGGAATCATATTAGAATTGCGATCTATTTAGTTGTTGGATAATTTACTGTATTCGAATGTTTTGACGAATATATATTAAGAAACACATCAAGTAGACGATTTTTGATTTAATTTGAATCGGTGGCTAAAAATTTTCCGCACCAGTAAAGCAAAAAGTTTAAACAAAATAAAAACCATGTATGAAAAATAGAATAAGATAGCACGTGTGGCGGTTCCTTAAAAGACTTTTCCTATAATTTCACTCATACAAAGGGGTTCATTTATGAAAATATTTACATATTCGAAACTTTTCTTCACCTATATAAACAATATTATACTTTTTTTATCTGTTATTACATATTAAATCACTCCTCAACCTTGCTCTTTCGATTCAAAACTTTTCAGAACAGGGAGCATATGTGTTTGATTTGGAGTAAGCGTCTTATGTCCAATAAAAAAAATACGGACAATATTGACATAGTCCATAGATGTCTATGTTCATATTTTTGAAAACCGGCTTTAAAATTATGACATGATAATTGAGAGTGTACATAGATTGGCTATAGTACAAATAAGGTATCGAAAATTGGCTTTGAGTAGATATGAGTTTTTGTCATTAGCTTTAAAAATTTACCAGAATAGAAACGAAAAGCATAGGTACGATTGGCCATGTGATTGGAAGAATGCTGGCACGCCAAAGGTGCCGGAAATAAATTCAATTAAAGGACTTTAAGTCCGCAGAATACATTGTGAGTAATTTGAACTGAGTAATTTGAGCTGAGTAATTTGAACTGAAACGATGATATGCTCCCGGGAAAATTAGCAAGTGAGATTGCGCCCAGGTATCATCGTAACAGTAGAATGAGTGAGAAGTAGCATCAGCCGGTGGTTTCCCGCCTACTCGAACTGCTCGAAGCAGGCCGGCTGTTAAATAGGAAAATGGCAATTTCAGATGTCCCTGATTTTGCCATTTGCCTATGCATTGATTGGAGTGGAGCATGACGAGTGCCATTGTTTGGCTCGCTTTGGTACGCGTTTGTATTGTCAATATATTGGTCGTTTGGCTAAACCTTATTAGTTGTTGGCTAGTTATTGCTTAGTAGAGACGTTTGTGTATAGTTATTTGACACCTCGTTGAAGGACGTGAATGCTTATGTGCGCTGTTGTTGGTTTTGCTTATTTATTTATTTTTTGACTGTTTCATGTTGCTCATATTTGCTTGAGGCTATTAACGGATTTCAGTTTCTTGTCATTCTGGGGCAGAAGTAATTCTTATTACAGTATTAGCATGGTGTAATTGGGTGCTCGAAGGTGCCAATAGTGTGTTAATGTGAGGGCAGCTAATTACAGTATGCTTTCTTAATGTTGCTGCTAGTTTGGCTGGACGGGCTACTTGTGGGACTCTGAGTTCCACATGCTAATTCCTTTGGACCGGTATAATTGACCTGACTATGCAAGCTTGGTTGTTTCTCCGGTTCTAGAACTGTAGTAGGTGATGTACTTCGTAACGTGAGCCTGCTGGTAAGTGATGGTTGGTTGCCCGGATCCATTGGCCCTGGTGAAAAATAAGCTCTCTTGTGCCTGATTGTTAAGCTGTATCTTTGAACTGTATGTGTTCCAAGGAGCCCGCCAGATGTTAATCATTGCCTTCTAGACTAATAACAAGGGATGGAGGTTCATCTGCTTTGTTTGTTCGTTTGTCCGTCTGTTCTTTTTTTTTTTTTTTTGGTTTGCACCGCTTGTATTACGGATTGTGGTTATTTCTTTTTTTTTTTCTTTTTTTCAACAACGGGTCTGGAAGACAACACTTTATTTTTATCTTCTTGTATTATGAAATGCAGGTCACTTGAGTAGACAGGGCTATGAATATTGTCAGTGCTATTGCCTAGGAGGTTTATCACTTGGTTCACCCGGATTCAATTTGCTTTATTGTCCAAGGCAGTCTCTTGTAATGTTGCCTCGATTGACAAGTTTGTGAACAAGGTTTTATTGATGGCTTCCAATGGCTGCCCACTTAGCCGATTATGAGGCTGCAGATATTTCATAATATAATGGAAGGTGGGGTCAGCAACTTATCAGACTTATATTCCATACTATCCGCAACTCTCCTTATTGCATACTTCATTTCAGCTAGGGTTGTTCATTGTGTGGTGTTCAGTGCTAATATGTGTGATGAAAAATGGGTGCAATTTTCATGTATGTGATGCATGTGGGTAATAAATTTACAAGATACTCCTTTAGGATGGATCATACGTATTTGGCCTTGGGGATAATAGTTGTTTGCTTTGCCATAATTTATTGTATACTGTGATTGATCTAATTTGTTTGCAACTATGGTTCAGCTAAGTATTGAAGCAGTTATCGGTCTGGCATTTGTGTGCGAGTTGTTCATGGACATTCATCAGTTCATTCCTTGTGCAAAGGTTCTTTCATGAATAGGTAACTTGCTTGGCAGGCTTTGTATAACGACTCTTGATATTCTGGATATTTCTAAATTACTACTGTGTCGTTATGTAGTCTTATAATCCTTCTGATCTAGAGACATTCACTGAACTCTAGGATGTCCAAGATCCAGAGAAGCTAAGCATAGTGTTTTGTAGAGCGCGATTGCCTGGTTTCTTGCTTTGCTTCAGGATTGTTGCTATTATAGTTCACATGAACAATATAGTGTTTGCAGGGTGCGTCTGCTAATGCTTATTCTCCTTAAATCTTTCTTCAAATATATATATACATACATTTGTCTGAAACTTGAGTATACAGTCGTACCTCTTTATAATCACCCCTAAAGAATCACATCATGTAAAAACCTCTTTATAATCACACCTATATCTTCGCCCAATTACTATCTAATATATAACAAAAGACCTCTATATAAGCACACCTCTTTACAAGAACATTTTTTTAAAAAAGTTCTTATGGTTCCAAAAGTGTGATTATAAAGAGGTACGACTGTACCATGATATCATTTCTGAGGAGGGAGTGGAGTTCACTAGTGTTTTCTTTCTTCCTCTTTGTCTAAGATTACGATCATAAAGATCTATAAAGGTAAACATCGTGATTCTGTGGAGTTTATTTAATTATGCAAGGTATGTCTGCTTGGTGTAGTACTTTAGTAACTAACTCATATCTTCTAATGTCTTCTAATGTCGTTCTCTCTTTTTTTTTTTAATCTATGGCCATTTAATCAGTTCAGGAAGATTATCAATTTTCATTTTACCAAGTATCTGCCAATACTATTTCTATCTGATATGGGGGTTTTTTTTTTTTGTATAATGTATTATTCTATTTGCTTTTATGCACTACATTGTACGTCTGCTGATAATGTAATAAAGCAACTATGTAGTGAAAGAAATGTTGATTGGGGTCCTGTTATACATTGATTTATGTGAGAGCTTGCCAATCTGCAAATATATTTATAAGGCCTAGTTATCAGAGGTATTTTTATTCTGCAAATAACACCTTACGATACTTGAACAATGAGATATAAAGAGAAAGCTATATGTGTCCTTAATGCATAATTCTAGTGTTTAATACTATTGCCCTAACTGCAATCGATTAAGTAAATACTAATATTCTTTGTGTTGTAAGCTAGACTCTATTCAATTTACACAAGCTCTGTATAAATTTATCTAATACAAAGTGTGTTTTCTCCTGTGCATAACACTTTGCGATACTTAAGGTGTGTAAGAAGATCTAGTGTTCATCTTTTATGCTAGCTTTCAGTAATGAATGTCCATTGACCTAACTACAATTGACCAAATAAATGACTAATGCCCTTGTATTGTAAGCTAAATTCGATTCTTATTTATACAAAATATGGTTGAGGTATATGAAATTATCCGATACAAAGTGTGTTTTATCCTGCACAATGATACTTGAGCAACAGGTGTATATGAAGATTCTGTATGTGTCTCTGATTCTAACCATTAATCTGACTACAATTAATCAAATAAACGACTAATGTCCTTGCATCGTAAGCAGTCTATGCAAGATAAGGCTGAGAAGTATGGATTTATCTGATATGCTTTGAGATTGTATCTTTTCTCTAAAGGCTGCATGAGTTGGCCTGAAATATTTTGCATAAAGGCTAGTGCTTTGAGGAAAGTCATCTATATATTTTTGGTCTAGTTCCTTTAGATATTTCTAATTCAAATTCATGCAAAAAATGTGGCTTGATATTATAATGATAATGTTTTGGTTTGTTAATGGCAAGTCAAATGGTGTGTTTAATTCTAGATGATAATCATTTCTTATATTTTGGAATTATTGTGAGTTTGATTTGAATACTGTTTTTCTTCTCCTTTCATTTATTTATTTATATTATTATGTTTTTTTTTTGTTTTTTTTTTTGGCAGACAAATATTACCTATGCTTGGTCATTAAGCATCTTTGCTGATATTTTTCTCCATCTAATTCTTTTAAGCCCAAGTTTACTATTACAAATCTTCAGATGAGTTGGCATTGCATTCTTGTAGAATATATTGAACTGGTCTTATTTATGTATCATTGTCTTTGTGTCAATTGACTTGGAAAACTGCTTTAGTATACGTGTACACTTCTGGTTTATAGCCTATGTCTATACACAAAAATTATTATTATTATTATTATTATTATTATTTGTATTATTTGTATAATCCTGAAACATATATCTTATTAGATAAGCATATAGGGTTTTTGTTTCACTACTTTATCTCTGATCCAAAAAGAGTTGCAATGTTTGCAAGTGTATATACTAATATTTGCTCTGATCTAGATTGGCCACATTAAAATTTAATATTGTCTTTGCAATATATGTTCACTAATCTTTTTTTCTTTAATCCAGATCTGTATTTTGATATATATTTGATTTATACAATTGAGGATAGAGCTTTTTTTTTTTTTTAATCAGCTTTCATCATTGTTGTGGAGAGCTGTAGACTTAGTTTAAAATGATCTATCAATGTGAATCATAGTGCTACAGGACACATTTAATCGTACTGCTTAGTCTAAAGTGATGTTGATATTTGCTTAAAATAGCTTTTCAAGCTTCAGTTTGTCAAACATATAATCAATAAAGTTAATTGTTGATATCAGTAAGTAAAATCATTCATCAATGTTAACTGTTAATGTATGAATCTACATTAGGTTAATATTTGTTTTTAGTCTTGTACAAATTAGTAAAACTTATTGAAAAGTGCAGCCTTATTTTTCTTTGTTATTAGTTAAGGGTTATCAGATAAGCCTACTAACTTTTATTATTGTTGTGGAAAGCTGTAGACTTAATTTAAAATAATTTATCAGTGTAAATCATGGTGCTGCAGGGCACATTCACTCATACTGTTTGGTTCAAAATGATATTAACATCCACTTTAAATTGCTTTCCAAGCTTTAGTTTGTCAAATATATAGTCAATAAAGTCAGTTGTTAATATTAGTAAATGAATAAGTAGTTGATATCAACTATTAATATATAAATCTATGTTAAGTTAATATGTGTTTTTAATCTTGTATTGTATAAATTGGTAAAAATTTTGGAGGTGCAGCCTTATTTTCTTTTGTTGTTGGTTAAGGGTTATCAGATAAGCTTACTGGCTTTCATCATTGTTATGTAGAGCTGTAAACTTAATTTAAAATAATCTATTAATATAAGTTATGATGCTGCAGAGCATATTTAATCATGCTGCTTGGTCTGAAGTGCTATTGATATTTGCTTAAAGTTGCTTTTCAAGCTTTAGTTTGTCAAACATATAGTTAATAAAGCTAATTGTTATTAGTAAGTAAATAAGTTGTCAATGATAATATATAAATCTATATTGGGGTTAATGTGTGTTTTTAGTCTTGTATTGTCTTGTACAAATTAGTAAAACTTGTCAGAAGATTGGTGTGATCTTGTTAGAGTTTGTGAGCCTGTACATTACTCTTAATGATGATGAGTGTTCCTCACTTGTACTGAATATTATATAATTTTGTTTTTTTTATTTATTTATTATTATTATTTTTATTTATTTATTTATTTTTAGTTTAATATGTCTAGTCTGTTATTTAGTCTGATGGTGTATTTGTATCTCATTATTATTATTATTTATTTTATTATTTTATTCTATATGTTTATTTATTTATTGTTATAATATTTATTTAAAAGGAAAAAATTAAGAAAGAAGAAATCGAGAAAATGATAGTTATAATGTTTGATTGTATTGCAAGAGGATATTGAAGAGTGTTGAAAAATGACCTATTCATTGTTTCTTTTATATTGATTAAAAATGGTGGCTTTTTGCTATGTAGTTGTGTTTGCATAAAAATTGATATAGTCTGATTTCTCTTTTTGTTATACAGCTGTGTTCACATGTCTATTATGTAGTTGTGTTCAAATAAAATTCCAATCCTCCACTTGCATTAATAGGGCAGGGTTGTAGCATGTGGTGTATAACCCTGACCACTCTCCCCTGTTTTTTTGATCAGTTGACTTTTTGTCAACATGCATTGTAAAAATGAAGTTTAAAAAATTCAAAAGGTTGGAGTGCTATAGATGTTTTGAGTTTGGTTCTGAATTGTATTTCTTCTAAAATAGGAAAGCTAAAAAGCCAGTTGAAAGAGGGGTTTGCTTTAGATTTAGTATTTTTGTCATTGTTGTTGTTGTTGGTATGTTTATCAGATATTGTTTGTTAAGTGAATATATTAGTAGATTTATTAGATTTAGTT